AGCATCCAACCCCACAGACTCCCACTAGGATGGAAGTCATGTTCTGCCCTAAGCCTGATCCCTGCGTTGGTCACTGGGCTCTACCCCTTTTGGCCTTCTCAAGAATTTCATTTACCCTACAGTGGTCAATTTCTCCCTCTTTGGTGGATCACTCGTATTGATGAATAAAGATGCCTAGTATCATCCATCTTTTTAAAAAAGTTCTCTGATACATGTCCCTCCCCTGCCACCACTTCATCTCTGTGCCCCTCAGCAACATCCTCCAAGAGTTGCCTCCATTTGGCCTCCACTGCCTCACCTCACATCTACTCCACACCCATTCCAATAAGGCTTCTGTTCTCAACCCACCTCCAAGTTTCTATCAGGGTCACCAATGACATGCAGCTTTTCAGAGACAACAGGAATTTTCCATCCCACGCTTTCTCCACAGCATCTGACCTGCCTGACTACTCCAACCTAAAGGGTGTCCACCGAACCAGTCACTTGGGTCCTCCTGCCACCTGGGCCATTTAGCGTCCTCCTTCTTGAGTGGAGAAAATGACCCCACACCTGGCAGGGCCCCAGAATGATGGTCTCAGCCCCTTTGCTATCCACACTCTGCTGCTAGATCTTAACCTTCTGTCACAAGAGAACAAGGACTATTATATACATACATACAGACTTATATACACACACACACGTGTGCATACATGACACACACACATACACATATACACACATGTATATATGACAAAAAATGTCACACACATATGCAAATTATCATATATTTGAAAAAAGTTACACCTTTTTTTTTGTGATAAAATCTGTCACCCAGGCTTTGTGGGTGTCGCCCAAGCTTGTGCAGTGGCACAATCACAGCTCACTGCAGCCTCGACCTCCCAGGCTCAATGGACCCTCGCACCTCTGCCTCCTGAGTAGCAGGCGTGCACCACCATGCCCAGCTAATTTTTGTATTTCATAGAGACGGGCTTTGCCATGTTGACAAAACTCCTGGGCTCAAGCAATCTACCCACCTCGGCTTCCCAATATATTGGGATTATAGGCATGAGCTACCATACCAGGCCCATATGTATTTTAATCTTTGAATCTCTTCCTGCAGCCATTAGGCAGGACAAAGTAAGTGGTAGAAGGGAAAAAGGGAAGTAACATATTCTCAAGGTTAGAAAGTTTTGCAGTATCATGAAAATGCTGACAATCACAAGGATCATTTATAGCAAGCTGGCCACTCCTCCAGGTTGGGCTCCACCTAGTTTTACTATCTGAACAGTGGACAGAAATATCATTTGAAAGAGTATTCACTCTGTAATAGGAGTCAGGAATGCAGAAATGAAGAAAAACAGCCCCTAAAGTTTTTGGTCATAAATCTGCTGGCAGGAGGCACAAACAACAAACTTGTCTTCTTGTTTCACTGCTTAGAACATAACAAGTCGGTAAACATCAGTTTCACTTACAGTCATGTTGCGGGACAGATTTATCATCCATAGCGTGATAACTACACATTACACCTCATCTCGAGCAGTGAGTTCAGTCTGACTGCACGCACGAGAGGAAAGGTGACATTTATGAACTGGAATGGCTGATTACCAGCATAGCGCATACATACCCAGCCATCTCCCACTTGGCTGAACATAGTCCTGTTAGGGCTGAAATGCGGCCCCAAGGGATTCGTTGCTACAATGCTGCAGTGCACAGAGGGAGTTGGGGTACAATTATGCTCACCATCGTTTAAACAGATTTATTGAAGTGTGAGCAATTTGCATGTCTAATTAACCACCAGTCAGGGTCATTTTTAAAGAAAAAAATACATCAGTTTTCATTGAATCCAAGGGAACAGCTTATGAACCTCCAACTAAAAAATTATAAGCGTCTAATTTCTAAAACACAGCTTTCACAGAAAAATAATGGTTCTCAACTTTAGCGGGTGTACGAATGATCAAGTGAGTTGGTTAAAAATGTTGGCCTCACCCTCAGATTCTGACTGAGTAGGCTTCGGGTAAAATCCATGCATTCTTAATCAGTGGCGCTAGCAATTCTGATGTACCAGTGCATGCTTCATGAGAAACCCTGGTCTAGAAACTGTCATTTGCTCGGAACAAGAAAAAAAGGGGAAAGTAAGCATCAGCTGTCAACCATATTAATAAATCATTTCCCAGAATCATTTAGTAATCGAGTGTCTGAAGTAAATATTCCTCATAAGAGATCACTTCTATGCTAATATGTTACATGCTCTTACGAGGTTTTTGTGATCTTAGTATAATCCTAGGAACAATCACGATCTCCTTGTGCTCAGGGAGGACTAAAAATACCACGCTTGATAGTCAACTGGATGGTCTAGTAAATATGAACTGTAGATAATCGCCACAACATCGCAACTTAAAGAGGTGGGAAAGAAACTGATTTGCTCCTGCTGAAATCATGCAACCTATGATTTCAATTCTAGCATCCTTCAGAAAGAAGTGTTTACACATGTCTGCTTGCCGGACTTCCCTCAAGAATGAAAAATGTTTACATCAACTCAGATATATATAAATTCCCCTAGTTATGGCATCATAAACTCCAGGCTATACCGTAATAGTTTTCTTCACATTTACATTCAAATGTTCCTAATTAAGACAGAATGTTTTAGCATTTTGCTAAGTGTAAAATTTTTATATTGGAAAAAAAATCAAGAACACAACCAAAAAAAAAAAAAAAAAAAAAAAAAAAAAAAACAAACCCTACTAAGCCAGAGAGTTAGAAAGACTACTATTATAGTCCTATCAAGAGTTTAAGTCTCTAAAAAAAGTCAATACAATATATCTCAGCAAAAAGGAGGATAGAATATTGTAAATAGAAGTGCTAATCTTTATTGGGTATCTCACACGTGCCAACCACAATAAGTATCCCTCATTAGTCCATAAACCCTGAGAGAGGCACTCAATTACCCCACTTTACAGAGCCAAGGTGCCAAGATCCACAAAAACCAGGACCTGGAGGCTCCTCTTCCCAGGGTCCTCACATCCCCACCCTTCATCTGCCGCTCACTAAATTCAAAGCTCAAATTTAACATCTGCAGCTAAACATACTAAAAGTAGCAGTATATAATGATCAAATTGGTTCTACATTGTAAAAGCAAGGTGTCTATATCGTACGCTGTGCCAAAATATCTCATGTACCCCATAAATATGTACACCTACCATGTACCCACAAAAATTAAAAGATTATTTTAAAGTAAAATGTCCAATGGTGTCAAAAACTATTGCACGTATCTAAAAATACAATAAAATTCTCTGCTCTATGCATCTTACTAAAACTTTAAGAGATTCAGATGTCAATTTAAGCTTTTTCACTTTAATACAATTCTAGTTCCTAAGTATTTGCTACACATATTAAAAGCATTACTGAAAAACCAATTCTCCCATATTTTATACCTATGCTGAAACCACAGAAAGCAAATGTGTATCAAAAAATCTTTATAAATCTAACACTGAGGTCACAAAGGACAAATTACTAACTAAAAAAGAATTGGTTGCTGATTGTGAAACTGTCATTCTTTCTAAGAACAGGCTATAATTATTGGTTCCTAGAATCCATTAAAACTTCTAAATGCTATGGTAAGTTTGCACAATGCATTCATTCTAAAAACGCTCTACATACCCACAACCTATTATTTTTCGGCAATGTCATCTGACAGTTCACTTTCTTACTCACAAAAGCTAATTGAAGACATTCTGCACTACCTCAGGCAATGCCCAACCATCAATAAACATTTACATAAATTTGCTAATCAAGTTGAAGACCTATCATATGCAAGGCTGCAGACCAGTATACAACCTCCTGATCACAGTCCTAAATACTATGTCATACAACAGTGGCTTCCACTGGTACCCTGGACTACCTAGAGAGACAACCACCTATTAAACAGACAAATGACACAGCAACCCTGCAGTTACCCATTCATTTGGTTATAGTATATCCTCCTGCCTAAAGATATTTGAAGCTTTAAAAAGTGATTGTCAATGAGCTGACACTGGAATTCATATATTAAATGGAAACCCTTTGAAAGTCACATGAAAACAGTCTTCTACTTTAGGAATGAGCAGTAGGAAATCAACAGTAACTTATCTGCACTAATGCTAGGTTAACATTTAGTTGACCCATATTTCTCACACTCCTAAGGGGTCAACCAGACAGACAGCTACTGTATGTCCTTGACCAAGTCTTAGATGCTTAGATGGCACTGCTGATGCAAAGAACTCAGTGCTCAAATGCAAGGACAGAATAAGAAAAGATAACCACGTAGGTGTCAAGCAGTGTGTATGTTGTCTAAATCATAAAAGACAGGATCCATCCTTTGGTTTAGCATTACAGTAAATCAGTATAATGTGTTCTGAAAACATAATTTTAAAATCACTCTGGAGGCCCAAAATGAACTAGAAGAGGAGATGGAAAAATAGAAATGTTATCTATAATTTAAAAATACTAAATGCATTAAAATTTCCAGTGATGAATGACTATTTCAATGTAATTTCTTCCTGATATACTAACAATTCCTGATACCTACCCTTTTGACAGAAAAGATTACGCTTTTTCTTCACATTCAATTTGTTCTCTTTCTTTCTTTCTTTTTTGAGACAGAGTCTCACTCCATCACCCAGGATGGATGGAGTGCAGTGGCATGATCTCGGCCCACTGCAACCTCTGGTTCCCAGGTTCAAGCGATTCTTGTGCTTCAGCCTCCCAAGTAGCTGGAATTATAGGTACGTGCACCACACCCAGCTCATTTTTGCATTTTTAGTAGAGACAGGGTTTTGCCATGTTGGCCAGGCTGGTCTTGAACTCCTGACCTCAAGTGATCCACCCACCTCAGACTCCCAAAGTGCTGAGATTACAGGCATGAGCCACCACGCCTGGCCCTGTTTCTTTAAGCACTAGTTCTGCACACAGCATTAAAGAGAAATCTCAGCAAAAATAAAGTCTATCACAGTGACTATATCACTAAGAGAATATGAAGCAGAATATGAAAAAATAAAATTTACTGTTTATTTCTTTGTTACACAAAGAAAATTAAAGGTGGTCCAAGACATCTCAGTCCATCTCCTAAGTCCTTTTGGCCATAATCACACACACAGTAATAGCAAGCCAGATTACGAATCCAGCTCAGGGTCAAGTTTTTCCACTTTAATGACTATCTCTGGAGCTAAAGCAGCAACACCGGCTTGTTGGTTCTCTGCCTCCGACTCCGACAGCACCTCTTCCTTTATTTTCACAGGCTTATTACTGGCCTCCTCCTCTTCATCTGAAGACTCATCGAGCTCCCATTCATCATCTATGTCCATTTCAAATACTCTCACATGACGAAGATTGGAGCTTAACTGAAAAAAAGGCCATAGAAGCATTTTTAAATTAATGGCTTAATTAACATATTATATATAAGGAATTAGAAATCAGAAGCCTGAATCAAAGAATGGTTTATGGGAAAGTTCTATTTCCATTAATTTACAACAAAATCAATAAGCTCAGCTTCCATTTTGTATAAAAAGATCTCCACATAATAACAGTAGCAATTTTGTGAGATTAAAATCTAGAATTATTATTAACTACTTAGGAAGCTTTATCAGAACAAGAGAACTAAATAGCTAAGGCCGCCACAGGATCCTAATCAATGCAAGCTATAAATCACAGTAAAAATACTGGCACAGAAGGATCTTATCTATCACGTATTTGATGAAGGTTCCAAAGAAGCCATGTTACTTCTTGCTATTTCTTAGTTGCTGAATGATCTGGAAACACTTACCACACAGGATACTTTTCGAAAACCATTCCCAGCAACATACTGTGCTTTCATACTTTCCAGCAATCTCCAGTGCTTCTCGAAATGCAAGGTACGGGTGGGAATGGCACTACATTGTTCATCTAGCCTGAAGAGGGGAAAAAACCAACCCAGAAATGAAAAGTCGATCTTCTCCTCCCTAGTTTACCACAGGTGGTATTAGGATCAATTATAGTTCTGATTTCTACTCATACTCCTATTTCCAATATAATTTTAGCAACCATTTAAAAAAAAAAAAAAACCCGTGATATAATACTCTATTAAAAATTTCATATTCTATATTTTGGCTGGGCATAGTGGCTCATGTTTATAATCTCAGCACTGTACGAGGCCAAGGTGGGAGGACTGCTTGAATACAGGAGTTCAAGGCCAGCCTGGGTAAAGTAGTGAGACCCCATCCCTGTAAAAGATTAAAATTAGCCACGCAAGGTGGCACATGCCTGTAGCCCGGAGGCTGAGGCAGGCGGGTCACCTGGGCCCATGAGTTTGAGGGCACAGTGAGCTATGATCGCATCACTGCACTCCAACCTGGGTGAAAGAGAGAGGCCCTGTCTCAAAAAAAAAAAAAAAAAAAAAATTAAGAAATTAAAATAATGTAATTCCAAATAGGCAGAATATCATCTTAGCAAAGTTTCTGACTCCCTTTCAAAGAAAGCAAATGGATACATTTTTAAATTAGAGAAGAGATCTGCTTACTTAAGTCTCAGTCAATTAAAGCCATCTCTTGGTAGTGACAGTATATTTCCCACATGGGTACTGCAGTCTTAATTCTGGAGGGAAAATACTGAAGGCAAATCCAAAATAATTCCAATCAACTAGTGTTAATGCTCTCCTTGAAAATGTAACTAAAAGAAGTCCCATTCTCCACTCCAAGTAATTCCCCACCTTGATTCCAGCAGATACTTCTTGATTTGCCAGTAAAGCAAAGGGACAAAAAAAGCTATTAAGGCCAGCATATTTTGAACAAAAAACGGGAGCACTTCTGCGCAACTACCTCTCTGGTTATCCCTAGTAACAAAATAACCATTATCTATCAAAACTAAAAGGTTAGAATTTATAATGTGCATTAAAAAACATTTAATTGTAATATCAGAAAGACAGTTTTACTAGTTACCTTGTAGAATAAGTCCCAGTGAACTGATATTCTGCAGAATCTTCACTGTTATATACTAAAGACAAAGGCAGCTGGACCAAGAGTCTATCTCTTCCTTCACGTCCGATAGTGTCTTTAAGAACTACCGTTACAGTTTCATCATCATAAAACTGTGCATCTAAACAACTGTAGATGCTAGAATTAAAATAAGTTTTGTTATATCAAAGATGGTCATGACTACTGAGAAAATACTGTATGCATACTATACTGGCAGCAAGCAGAAAAACAATTGAAAAACTAAGTGACATTCTGTACAATAACATTTAAAATATGCCATTGGTTTGTATTAAACTCAATTACTTTTTGCACTGATTATTCACATATATAATTAGATCTTAAAAATGGGTAATCATGACCCCCCAGAATCTGTGAAGTTGTTTCAGTTCTAGAAAACCCTTGACTATCAATGGTTAGGCCTTAAGCCTGTGGAAATTCTATGAATGACACCTTACATACACATTCAGCAAAGAGAGTTGACTAGACTGAAAAAAATAAGATATAACATACGAAAAATAGGCACAGCAACTCCAAAAGTTTATCATAAAAAAAAATTTCTTTTACATGAGGGAAAAAAGTCAGAAATAAGATCAGCCTGTGATTAGTCAGTTCTTTCCCTTGCGAAGCCTTGGGGATGGCTTAGGTACTGTTACCTGTTTGAATCCTGAGAAAATCTCCGATCACTGAGAATGGCATCGCCTCATATTTTTTTGATCCTAACAAGTATTTCGGCTCCGTAGGCCATCTGCCCACTGGAAGCACATTACTTTCCTTGCCAACAGGGAGCTCAGAAGTAGTAATTATAGGAAACCATATGACATAAACTCCTGCAGGGCAGTAAGGTTCTATTCAATCATAAGTCAAATCATTCTCTATGTATAAATACAAAGAATCCTGCCTTCTACGTTGGAAGTGATGACAAAGCCCTTTTGCCTATATTACCACCATAACTGAGTCTGATCACATTCCCAAACATATACACACATACATGCATGTACATTTCATCCAAACAGAAACATATACACATATCATATGTATCTACATTTCAAGCAAACAAGATGCAAGACTTACCTTCTTCTAACTTTTTCCGTTGTGGCATATGTAAAGCTCCCAAATTTAATAGCAATTAGTCCATTACTTACAGATCTTAAAGAAAGAAGGGAGAAAGAGACTTTGTAGAACAACCTCGGTAGTCAATAATCTAAATGCTTAAAAGAACATGATTGTCAGGCTCAGTACATTTACCTAATCCCAAATCTCAGACCAAAAACACCACTGTCCTTCTCTAGAACACTGAGAACTAGCTTAAACGCCTAGACAGATAAAGCAACTTGGTTTAAAATCATACAGTCACCAAAGTAGATAGATAACTTAGCCAGAGATAATTTGGAATAGAAATAACCAAATTCTTTTTGGTTACATCTTGGTCTCAACATTTTCTTCAAATTCAGATTTAAAACCATTTTTAAGATACCAATGGCATTCTAAATATGATTTATTTTTCAGAACTTTTATTTTGAATTTCAAAGTAAGTCTCTGTTAGGCAAGGCTTCTTTTTTAATGAAAAGTATACTTAGCCCTAGGCAAAAATCACTTCTAGAAGGCAGCCACTTTTAGAAGTTTATGACTTCTAAAATGTTACTTTAACTTTTTGGAAGTTTTTAACTTCTAAAAAATGAGATATAATATCCTGAGTTTTCTGCTGTCATATTTTTCCTAACTCTAAAGAAAAGTCCTACACACAATGATTATATGCCAATACAAAATTAACCTACAAGATTACATAACTTCCTAATTCCGTGTTACCATCTTAATTAGATGAAAACTAACAATTAAATGACAAATCTAAAAGTAGCAAAGTAGTTTAAAATCTGAAATGCTGGAAGGCTGTATGCGTCATTCTGAATAAAATCTTATCTCTTTGATTCAAACCTCAGATTAATACTTACTGAGAAATATCGGTATGTCTCCTTAAGATGCACATTTTATAAAGTGAATCTTCTAGAATAGTAAAAAGAAGATAATGTAGATTTGAAGTTTTATTATTCCACCTAAGAAAAAAAATTGTCATAACGTTTTTTAACTGTTGATGGCTAAAACAAAATTGTGTTGTTCACGCAAGATAGGGAAGAAATACACACTTACAGAAAAGGAAATTTGAACAATCTACGTGCAGAGTCTTCACTAAAATAAAATGGAAAAAGAGATGAGAAAAATTTAAATGGGCTGCTGAATTACACCACCCAATAGGTAAACAGGATTACCTTCTGGTATCTCTATACAATGGAATACAGATTGCTTGATTCATCGATTTCCCAATTACATCCTATATAAAATAAGATTTTAAAAAATAATTAAATCATTTATACGCACACAGATACTCTACAGAAAGTGACTGACCATCACTCTTCGAATGTAGTAAAAAATCGCCTGTATCGGCAAACCTTTATGAGAAACTTTAGTGACAGTTTTAACAAGTGAGGAAAAAGAAAATTCTGAGCTGAAAAGGACCTTGGAGCTAAGCCCAGGGCAGGTTTAAGACCTCCCCCTCTAGTCTCATAACAACCCTTCACTCGCAGCCTTTAGTAGTAAACATGAGAACACAACAGCTCTGTAACTAAGACTGTTTACAATGAATTTCTTCTGAGAACAAATAAAATACTCAAGATGCCAACACCTTTAGTAATCTTTATATACACACACACACACACGTGTGTGTGTAAGAAACTAACAAGTTAAGAGTATTAGGTTGAACCACACGAAATTGTACTTTTGTTAGTCAAAAACAGTTGAATATCAACACTTTCATAGTTCATTCTAAAAATTAAGATCATTTACATAAGTGAGCCACATGCTGTAGTCACTATTGCTCCTACACAAAGACATGCATTTCTTTCAAACTTACTGCTGGCTTTTGTAAACACTGATCAATAATGTTCTCCATCCGCCTTTTCACAAAATGCAATGATTTTCGAGGATAGTAAGGAAACAGCAAAGGACTTTCTGGTTTCAAACAAAAACAGAAACAAAAATAAAAGAAGCTATAGCAAACTTACAATTAGAAGAAAATAATCTGCTGTTAGAGCCAGTCTGCACAGTTTATCTCAAGATAGAATTTGCACTGACCACTTCACTGGATTTTCACACAGCCTCATTAAAACGACCATGGCCTTCTGCCTTTCACCAAACCCCACGGACAGCTCACTAAAAACCACCTCACTTAGTACAAGCTTAGACTCACCAGAATCCAACTATATGTTTCTGCTGGCTACAAGAAGAATGGAACGATTTGGGAACCATCAAATAGATGAGGAAATAAAGTTCATTCTTCTCTTCTTTGCCACAGTGAAATGACAGTAACAGTCCAGCACTGTTTTGTAAGTCTCAAAAACAGGAGGCTGGAAACTAGCTCTATATAAATAAGCTCTTTACTTTTTAAAAGGCTACTTTACCAGGAGAAAATAATATGTAATTCAGCACTTACTGACATCTGCTGTGCTAGGTTTTTTTTTTGTTTTTGAGACGGAGTTTCGCTCTTGTTACCCAGGCTGGAGTGCAATGGTGCAATCTCGGCTCATCGCAACCTCCGCCTCCTGGGTTCAGGCAATTCTTCTGCCTCAGCTTCCTGAGTAGCTGGGATTACAGGCACGTGCCACCATGCCCAGCTAATTTTTTGTATTTTTAGTAGAGACGGGGTTTCACCATGTTGACCAGGATGGTCTCGATTTCTTGAGCTCGTGATCCACCCGCCTCAGCCTCCCACAGTGCTGGGATTACAGGCTTGAGCCACCGCGCCCGGCCTGCTGTGCTAGGTTTTTAAAAATAATCTATTTTTTTAATTGCTTATAACAGCCATATGAAGTAAACACCATATTCTCCAATTTACAGATGAAAAAAATGAAGCTTAGCAGGTTTAGGCAATTGCCCAGTGTGAAAATAACTAAGTATCTAGATTATCAATCAAGCCCAAATCTGACAAATGCCCACCCTCTTCCACTGTGCTTTGTAGGCCTTCTCTTAGATAAAGCCATGCTGGATAAAATGAACTGTAATCACATAAACATTTTAAGTTTACCAGGTGACAGATGCTATGGTATCACAGAAAGACACTGATCTTTGTTTCCACTTTCTAGAACAGAGCTTCAAGCTTTTGGGATTTCCTGAGTGATAAAGATTATAGGAACACCTTTTTTCTTTTTGTTGTGTGCTTTTTTTTTTGGATGCAGTGTTGTTCTGTTGCCCAGGCTGGAGCGCAGTGGTGTGATCTTGGCTCATTGCAACCTCTGCCTCCCAGATTCAAGCAATTCTCCTGCCTCAGCCTCCCAAATAGCTAGGACTACAGGTACAAGCCACCATACCCAGCTAATTTTTGTATTTTTAGGAGACAGGGTTTCACCATGTTGGCCGGGATGGTCTCAAACTCCTGACTTCAAGTGATCCACCTGCCTCACCCTCCCAAAGTGCTAGGATTACCATCTTTTGTTTTAATGAGGCAACTCTTGGCTGGCACCTAGATAGCTTTAGGATAGGGGCTGGGTGCCAAAAAGACCAAGCCTTGATTAGAAGTTTGGAACTTTCAGCTCCACCCACCAACCTCCAGGGAGGAGAGAGGGGCTTGGAGGTTGAGTTCAATCATTAATGGGCAAAGACTTCATCAATCATGTCTACATAACGAAACCTCCATCAATACACTGGGACAATGAGTTCAGAGAACTTCCTAGGTGGTGAGCATGTCAAGGTGCTGAGGGAGCATGGAAGCTCTGCACCTTTCCCTCCATACTCTGCCTTATATATCACTTCTCTGTGGCTGTTCCTGAGTCATATTCTTTATAATATAGTGGTGAACATAAATTAAATGTTTCCCTGAGGTTTGTGAGCCATTCTAGCTAAATTATCTAACCTGAAGGGGAGGAAGGCTCTGGGAACTCCTGACTGTATAGCCAAGTCAGACAATAAACATGGATACCCAAGAGATGTGGGTGACCTAGAGACCTGACACCTGATGCGAGGGCAGTCTTGCGGGTCTGCACTCTCATCCTGTGGAGTCTGAGCTAACTGCCTGTAATTAGTGTCAGAACTGAATTGTAGGATACCCTGTTGGTGTCAAAATTGGCTGGTGTCAGGAGGAAAAAAAACTCATTTTGTTATCAGAAACACTAAGTAGAAACTGCTCAGACGGTAGCCAATAGACTGCTTCTGTGTGAAGTGCCAGGCATTAGTCCAGGTGCTTATCTAGGTTAATTATTTCATCTCCACACCAGTTTTTTGAGGGAGGCATTATTATCATCTTCATTTTAAGATGAGAAACTATGGCACAGAGAGTTAGACAACTTGCTCTCAGCTGCGTTACTAGGAAGTAGAGCAGATTCCAACCCAAACGAGCCAGCTTCCATGGCACCAACTTTTACCCAATACACAATAATCACCCACATACCCTAAGAAAGTACACAGATCAAGTATTTAGCACTTGATTTTTGCAGTCTAAGAAAATATTCGCCGATACTTCCTCACTGGGATTCATTACGGAACTCAGTAGTGAGTTCCATTAGGTCTGTAGCTAAGATCAGGCCTTTCTTATTCAGACACATAAGATGTGGGGGTGAAAGAGGGTAGGACCTATTTTTAGCCTGGTAAAGTTCCCTGAATCAATAATAGCCAAAATAGCAACAGGGTCCAGGTGCCACTACTCTTGGTGCACTGCCACCGGCCCTCCCCAGACATCCTGCCTATCCTTGGGCATTCTGATTAAATACAGTAAATGAGTAGCATCTCCTGTACCTGTATCCTCCCTCCATTCAGCAGCTAGCTTGCACCAATGCAGCTCCCTACTGACCTCAAGACTCTCTGGCAATTCAAAATAGGTTCTGCTCTGAAAAAGAATTTAGACTATATGCAAAGTTCTGGGCATCAAAGAATTCTCTCCCTTATTCATTCATTCATAGAAGCAGCAACCAAATCGAAGTGGCAGAAATTACTATAGGCTGAGTTTCACTTACTCAAAATGCTTGGGTCCAGAAGTGTTTTGGATTTATTTTGGATTTTGGAATATTTGGATATATATAATGAGATATCTTGGGAATGGAATTCAAGTCTAAACATGAAATTCATTCATGTTTCATGTACATCTTATACAATATTTTTAATAATTTTGTGCTTGAAACAAAGTCTTGACTGTGAACTGTCATATGAGGTCAGGTATGGCATTTTCCACTTGTGGTGTCATGTTGGTGCTCAAAAAGCTTTCGATTTTGGAGCATTTCAGACTTCGGATTTTTGGATTAAGATGGTCACCTCGTATTGCTGTCTAGTTAAAACCTCAGGCTTTCACATTAACAGAATCCTAGGTCCATCACTAACCAGCTTGTGTGATCTCGGCCTCTCGAACTTTCTGTTTCCTCATTAGTCAATGGGGATGCCAAGTACCTACCCATAGAATCTTGTGAGGATTAAAGCAGGTATTATATGTGTATAGCAGACTAAATACCCCATAAATGTTAGTTACTACCTTAAAGATCAAAGATTGCTAAATGTGGTCAGATTACTCTTTCAGACAGCAAAGGAACACGTGCTTTAAAAATATTTTCACCTAAAACGGTAAAATGTGTTGGCATATTTAATGGGTGCTGTTATGTGCTGCATCCCCAATTATGCTGGACAGCTTTACTGTATTAACACTGACATCCTAGAAAATGAAAGGCATAACAAGTACATGCGTGTGCGCGTGCGTGCGCGCGCGCGCGCACACACACACACACACACACACACACACACACACACAACAACCTGAGGAGAATACAGTTGAGCATCACTGTGCTTTTAGAAGATAATAAATTGAAACTGGCAAAAAAAAGACTTTTCTCACTAGTTGGCTCTATAGTTTCCCCTCAAAATCCCATTTTTTTACAGGATGCAAAACACACACTTATATAAGCATACTTAGGAATAAGCAATCTTATTACGGCATAGTGAACTTCAGAGTGTCTTCAATCTATCATGGTGATGTCATATACTATTGGTTATTTTGCTGATCCTTTAATCAAATAAAAATGGACGCAAAAAATAAGTCTAATAAACTTAGATAAGCGGTCAGCAAGTTTTTAGCCAAACTGTTAGCAGATCTATTCCAGACCTAGTCTTAAGTAAAAATAACCATGCCCAAAATCTGGTTGGTTCATAAAATACCTTTCAGGTAGCTGCTATTTTGAAGAAAGTCATACCACTGGTTTCCTTCTGTGTTAGGGGGTGACACAAGATCATCATCTTCATCTTTCAAGTACTAGAAATACAGAAATAGAAATTTAAGTTTATTCATACCTGAAAGGGAAAATAGAAAAAGAAAGGAAGTAAAAGACAAAAAAAAAAAGAAAAAAAAATTAAGTTTAGTGAATCAAAGAATTTGGGTCTAAAAGCTGTTCATATTTAACACTTTTTTAATTCAATAAGTTACTTTGTTTTATTGCCAAGTCCTCTGAAAGTGCATTACTATTATTCTAAGTGAGGTAGCCAAAATCTGCTATGTGTATGTGGTAGAATAAGCCCTCCATCAGTGTCAGCTAGCTACTATCTTAAAAATCGAAGAAACTGCTGAACAATTTGCAGCTTGTTTAGTCAAGCAACTAAACAGACTGCAAAGTATTAAAAGAGTTATATGTTGTAGATGTAGAGACCACAAATCAAACTTAAATTCTGTTTCTTTTTCATGAGCACATTTTAATTTTACATATGCAAGTTACAAATTAGTTTCACAAGTATCAATTGTCAACATACTGTCCATTCCCTCTATGGCAGTTGTTCTCCAAGTAAGGTCCACAGACTCCTGGGAATCCCCAAGATGCTTTTGGGGACCCACAAGGTCAATACTAGTTTTATAATAATGCAGATGTCACCTGCCCTTTACACTGGTAACATTTGCACTGATGGTGGGGAAAACTGTGACTCAGCCAAGAGTCAAGGTAGTGGTCCCAAATCATACCAGCAGTCACCGTATTATTTTTCTGTCACATACTGATAGTTTCATTTGAAGTCATTAAATTACTGACTTTATTAAGTTTCAACCCTTGAGTACAAAGCTTTAATATTCTGTGTGACAGAATTGAGAGTTATACATAGGTACTTTTGTTACACAAAATATGGTTGTTATTTTGAGAAAAAGCACTTATGTTAAAAGCAAAAATAGGCTGGGCACAGTGGTTCATGCCTGTAATCCCCACGCTTTAAGAGGCCATGGCAGGTATATCACTTGAGCCCAAGAGCTCAAGACCAGCCTGGGCAACATGGCGGGTCTCTACAAAATAGGCAAAAATTAGCTAGGCCTGGTGGTGTATGCTTATAGCCCCAGCTACTCAGGCAGTTGAGGTGGCAGGATCACTTGAGTCCAGGAGGTGGGGGCTGCAGTGAGCAATGATCACACCACTGCAGTCAGAAGACCGACCTTGTCTCAAAAAAAATTGTTTCTGGAAAACCTCATCTGCCCCTGTGTGCTTCACAACACAAGACTTTTCTGAGTGAATTGGTAATGCTATTAATGAAATCTAGCTTATAGTTTGATGAAAGGTGGCAGCATTTAGAACAGCCGCATGACTCACAGAACTGATACTTTCAAAATGACCAAAGCATGATGTTACAAAATTATGCATGGGCAAAAGATCCAAAGTGGGAGGGAGACGAATGAATTTTAATGTAACAGAGTAAAAAACGTTCACTGATGCAATTTTAGATTCCACATTGAAGCGAACCTTTAAGATATAATCACTTGTCCAGATTTGATATAATAAAGCAACATCACAATTATCTGAAAAAGCTAATACCTCTCCCTTTCCATATACACACCTGTGTGAGGACTGATATTATAGAAACAACATATGAAAACAGACTGAATATAGAAGCAGACATGAGAATTCACCTGTTTTCTATTAAGCTGGACATCAAAGAGGTTTGCAAGAATTTCTGAAACATTATCACTATTCACTAAATTGTTATTTTGCAAAATATTATTTTTCATTAAAAATATTTATATTAACATGTAATAGTAAGTGGGTATATTCTATTTTCTTTTTTCCTTTTTCTTTTGCGACTGAGTCTCACTCTGTTGCCTAGGCTGGAGTGCAGTGATGCAATCTTGGCTCACTGTAACCTCCACCTCCTGGGTTTAAGCAGTTCTTGTGCCTCAACCTCCTGAGTAGCTAGGATTACAGGTGTGAGCCACAATGCCTGGCTGGTATATTCTATTTTTGAATGAATTAAGGAATAATTTTTTTATGTTTAATTTTTAATACCTAATCATGCCTATCAGCAACAGATGACAACTCACATAAACAAAAGCTCTTTTCTACTCCTCAGTAATTCTTTTTTTCTGAGATGGAGTCTCATTCTGTCACCCAGGATGAAGTACAGTGGCTTGATCTCAGCTCACTGCAACCTCCACCTCCCGAGTTCAAGGGATTCTCCTGCCTCAGCCTCCTGAGTAGCTGGGATTACAGGTGCCCACCACACCTGGCTTATTTTTGTATTTTTAGTACTCAATGCTTTTTAAAAATGTAAAAGGGTTTTCAGATCAAAAAGTTTAAAAGCTGCTGCTTTTTGGTTATTTTACTAAAAGGGCAGAGCTCCTGTATTACTTGGTATTATATTACTTTCCAGAAACTTTGGATAACAAAGATGAACAACTGCTAAGGTCTATAAAATGAGTTCAAAGCTCATACCTGACCAACTCTTTCAACGTTAAAGTATTTTCCTTTTCGATTATAAAGGTCTGGAGCCTGGAAAAAATAAGCAGAGTTTATTCTTAATTCAGCTCACCAAGAAAAGTATCCTACATTTAAACCCAAAACTTTCCTTTTCAAGAGAGCTGTGAGTGGCAGTTATTCTTTTCTTTTATGGATTGTAAGACACACAAACAAAAGTCTAGTTTATTGACTATGTTTATAAACATAATTAGTTCAACAGTTTAAAAAAAGTAATTGCTACAGACTTCAATTAAATTGAGTTAAATTTAATTGTGTTGTATCATTACCCAGGTTTATTGCAATTATTTTTTTTTAGACTGCATTTCAGAAGACCAACTTCTTACCTCATTGAAATGTTCAGTAAGAAATTCAGCAACAAATGTGATATCTTTCTGAGTCATCTATCAACAAGAGGAGCAAAAAGAAAACAAATCAAGATAAAAGAAAACTGCTCAATAAAAGAAATGGTACATAATAATAAATGTGGCATTTTTACGATCTACTAAAAGCCACAGGAAACCAGCAAAGTTCTTTCAAAGAAATGTAGATTGTTCAACTGTGAAAATATTAACTCCTGGGGTTCTGAAATGTAATTAAACACGTGAACTTATCTTCCAATCAGCTAATCCAAGAGCTGCAAAACTCCTTATCGCCTAAGGTTGTTTATTATTTCAGGCCTTGTGCTAAGACCACATGTGCAGAGGTCCCTCCTTTGGGAATGGGAACTGGACCCCAGATGAGACGCATCACCCTAAGTCAAGGGCTGGAGGCAAACAGTGCTGTCTGCTTCAGTGTAGACCCCTGATTCTTGCAATGACCTGCATTCATCCCAATTTAGTTCTTCAGCCCTCAGAAAATTATATTTTAAGATCCCTTCCAACAATTGACATATTTTATCTCCCAAAATAAAGCTAACAGTGATGTCAGAACAACAACTATTGTGAAACTTTCCTGGTTTACAAGGCCAATCACCCACAGTGCAAAAGATCTACTTAGCAAGAATTGTGGAGAGTGGAAGATCCCTTTGTCACCTAGTTCCCACAGGCTTATTTTAATGCTGCCCACTTTTTCAGGCTCAAAACTACCTATCTCAACAGTTTCAGCAGGGGTGAGGAAGAGTGAGCTGCGGGAATCAAATGGAAATTCTGCCCTATTCTGTAAGACTTCCCTGGAAGGAGATTCCATCACCACTTGCCTCAGTCCTTACAGGAATCCTTTTTCTTTCTTTCCTTAGAAAGAAACTGTTGCTTATCAGACATCAACACAGGTACTAATATCTAAGCACATCTAATTTCCAAGGAAAAGAAGAAGCATGTAAAATTTAAGGAAGTCAAAGTAAGGAATACAAGGATGCTGTCTTACATGGATTATAAAACCTTATCCAAACATGAAAACTATAAATTCAGATAGCCATAATGAAGGTATTCTATGAGATGAAACAATACATAAAACATACAAATTTCTTTCTGAAGAAGTTGTGGCTTAAGGGATCTAATGTCTACATCCTGACATCCTGTTAACTAATAACTGAATAAGAGTACCAAAATGGCCAGCACAGCTGAGTTCAACCAGGACAACGTCAACACTGCAAAAATGCACCAGTACATACTACCTTGTTCAGCTCGGGAAGCACGTGGTCTTCTGTCATTCTCAACATTGCTGGAAAGATAAAGTTAAAAAATTATCTTTAAAGGCAAACTACAAACATAATTTAAATTATAAATACATTTCAAAGACAAGGTGTTTTACACTGAACAAAATCTTCAATTTTGTACAGCTTTTCACCAACAAAAATCATATTTCTTCCAAAAACTAAAGGGTGCCAGAACTTAAATTTGATTCATACTTTCATGTTCAAAATTGTTGGTGTAACCATTCTAAACTATTTTTTTTTTCTTTTTCTTCTTTGATTCAACCTGTTGTCACTCCAGACAAATCTAACTGCTGTCTGTACTAAGACTATGTATGCATGGATCCCTCCTTCTAACCTGGTGATGTTTCTTTTTTTTTTTTATACCTCCAGATGCTTAAAGGTTTTTTTTTTTTTTTTTTGAGACAGAGTCTCATACTGTCACCCAGGCTGTAGTGCAGTGGTGTAATCTCAGCTCATTGCAATCTCTGCGTCCTGGGTTCAAGCAATTCTCCTGCCTCAGCCTCCCGAGTAGCTGGGATTACAGGCATGCGCCACCACGCCCAACTAATTTTTTTGTATTTTTAGTAGATACGGGGTTTCAGCATGTTGGCCAGGATGGTCTCGATCTCCTAACCTTGTGATCTACCCACCTTGGCCTCCCAAAAGTGCTGGGATTACAGGCGTGTGCCACCACGCCTAGCTAATTTTTTCATATATTTAGTAGATACGGGGTTTCATCATGTTGGCCAGCATGGTCTCAATTTCCTGACCTCATTGTCTGCCCGCCTTGGCCTCCCAAAGTGCTGGGATTACAGGTGTGAGCCACCATGCCTGGCTATACCTGGTGATGTTTCTGCTCTTAAAATCAGCAAGCCATTCTTTCCTCCAAAGCCTTACGATACCAAAGAAACCTGTTTATTTCCCTTGGTCTTTTCTGCTACGCACTTACAGTTACGCATATTTATATGCCTTTCTTTGATCTAGGATCTGTGGTTGACTCTCTTTGTCCTTTCATAGGGTTGTCCTCATCAGTACTATGTGTTTTGTATTATGTTCCACTTAAGTCAAGACAAAGTATGTTGCATGTGCTTCTGCATGATATTTGAACATGGTTCTTAATTGTATTTGGTCAGTAACAAGCAAGTCACAAGTGATTTTGCAAATACAGAACTGTTTTTAGCTAATTTAAACTTCTAAGTTATCTGAAAGGGGGGCTAAAATCTAGTTCCACTCATTCTTATCCATCAAAAAAAAAAAAAAAAAACCACTTATTGAGCATACTCTAGGTGCTAGCAATATATCAGTATAAAAGATATCCCTGCCTTCATGGAGAACACATTTTACAAAAAAGAAAACCAAGGTTACACAGCTACTGGAAACAGAGCCAGGATCAAAAGTAGATCTCCACTTCTCCAATCCAGTGTGCTTTCTTCAATGTCCTGCTCTAATGAGAAGGACCGAGCAGTAACTCATTTCTCTTCTAATCTTGATTCTTATTACAGTTAGAATGTGCAGTAAGAATAAACACTGCCTAAATTACCTCCAATAATTTTAAGCAAAACCAAACTACCTCTGCAAAGACAAAAAATACTTCTAAGGTCTCATACAGTTTTAATATTGTAATTTATTCTAATTAACAACATGGATCTTAAACAGGCCAGCCTGATAAGCCCTCTGGTTCCTCATTCTGGCTAGTATTGGTACAGTTTCCAGAAACATAAAAAAATTCCAAGTATCATCATATGCAGATCACATTCAGTTTTTTTTTTTTTAAAAAGGCAATTATGTTAGGTTGAAAAATATAAAGTCTGTTTTTACAATATTAGAACTGAAGATATGGACATTTGTTTAAAGGATATCAGCACATTACAGGTAATTTACATTCTATTTTACTCTTTAGAATTTCAACAAATGTGGGATAAATTACATTTACCCTAAATTTTGCATATGTTGGAAAGAAATGTATGCTGGATTATTTTAAGGATATTTCAAGTTCACAAAAATAGCAATATAAATGGACCTAAATAAAATATGCATATAATACAGAGTGAATACAAAACATTTAATATCAAGTCGATAAATACTTATCAACTACCTGCGCAAACGCAAAGACATTGTGAAGACACAAAGGCCATAAGTGGTCTGCATTCTACTTAGCTGGGCATCAATACACAACAGAAGTGGTAATGGAAATGTTCTACTTCTACGTGGTCACTAGCCATTTGTGGCTACCGAGAACCTCAAATGTGAACAGTAGGACTAAGGAATCAAATACATAGTTTTATACGACTTCAATCTACTTAAACAGCCACATGTGGCTAGTGGCAACCATAGTGGACAGCAGAGATCTAAACACAGAAGACCAAATAATCGAACGAAGATAAGCTCACCAAGGACAAAGGCTCTTTTTTTTTTTTTTCTTTTCTACTTTTAAAATCTAGCACCTAACAGTGCCTAATACTTTTAAAAAAATGTTTAAAAATGTTATTTTAACCTAAGGAGACATTATAAAGTGAAAAAGTGTGAACTATCGGTGAGTGACAGGGATAACAGGGGCTACAAGTTAGCTTTAATTGTTCTGTGAGGAATGTTTCCAGCACAAGGAGAAATGTTTAAGGTGATACATATCCCAATTATACTCACTTGACCTTTACAAATTATATGAATGTATTACAAATTATCACAAGTACATCGAAAATATGTATATTTATTATATACTAATAAAAAATAAGTATTTCTGTGGGGAGGTGGGTCTGCATGAGAGTATGAATAAAATAAGACTGGCCACGTGTTGATAACTGCTGAAGTTAGGTGATTGGTACAACAGGGATCATTATACGATTCTCTCGACTTTGGTAAGTATTTGAAATTGTACTAGATTTACCGAAACAGTCTAAGATAATACTCCTACAGGTTTTTTAAAGTGTTAAAATAAAAATGCTTTACTCAATTAACTTACCCACATAGAGCCACCGAAAAAATGCTTTGAAGTTTTTCATACTACTATCTATAACTCTAAAAAGATAAAAACAAAAAAAATCAGAAATAAGATTATTATGTGGGGGTTCAAATATCACTGCTCAACTGCCAAGAAATATCATAATCCTTACTGTTCTATTTTATCCTATCTGGGTGATATTTAAGTCTTTAGAACAGCAGATATTACAAATCAAACACATACCTAAAAATAAAATTTCAAAAAAGCAAATACTGATTATTTTCAAAAATAAAGCAAATAACTTAGAGTCTAACTGGTTACAACAGCCTTGACACAAACTGTGTAACAGTCTTTTTTATTATTTGGTAAAGCATGAAATCCTTTTCTAACTTGGAAAATAAATGAAATCAGAAAAAAAAACCAGTGTTCAGCATTATTCTCATTTTAAAAGAAAATACTCATTGGTCGGTAAGAAGAAAAAACCAACTACAAGAGGAAATCATTATTACAGATTAGTGCTATGTCATTACCTCTGATATCAATGGACGTTATTTTTGGAAGCTGAGTTTTTATTCAAACAATTGAGATCTCAATTTTGGGGATATATTTAGCTTTACACAAATATACCCCCAAAATTAAGTGTTATAAATGGAAGTCATCTTCATTTTGATAAAACTGTTTCTGAATAGAGATGGGTTATCACTTTTTAAACAATCTCTTTAAGCTCACATATATAAGATAATTACTCTAGGCAAATACCTGTGCTTTTCATTCCTAAATCTCAAAGGCCTTTCTAAGCATTGTTTCATAATACCATTGGAGAGAGAGGTCAGTAGCATTAACCTTTCAGTACAAAGTAAAACACTTGTAATAAAAGACTGAAATATCTCTTATGTTACTAAGCAACATAATCAAAACCCTCTTGCAGCAATGATCAAAAAAAAAAAAAAAAAAAGAAAGAAAGAAAGAAAAAAAGTTCCTTTGTGCAGTCACTATCTTCAACCCAATCCCAGGCCACCAGACCAACATCAAAATGCTCAATGGCTCAGTTTCTCCATCTGTAACCTGTAATAATTCTACTAACCTGAAAGGAACAATCAACTACCTTTTGTTCATATTGAGAAGTGACCACAGAAAGCATAATATTTTATATTTGTTCCTTACAAATATGATGAATCAAAAAACACTTCAAAATACAATGCCATTTCTCCTTGTGTTTTTGTCTTCTAAGTGCACGCAACTACAGCCTCTACCTCTAAAATACCATTAAAATGGCCATTGATGGAGAGGGGTACATGTGTTAGAAACTGAGAAAAACAAAGAGAACAATAGAAATCAAATTTCAGAAATGTCAAAAGCGACAGAGGATTGATGCAGCTCAACAGCAAAAGTGAATGATGCAGCTTAAGAAAGGAGGCCCGTGCCAGGCAGTGCATGGAGACGGCAGCTGGGAAGGAGCCTCTGTGCTCTGAGTTGTCTCTCGGCCCTTACATGTCCTCACTTCCTTCCTAAATTAGTTCAGATTTGAGGGCCATCATTTTAATCTGATCCTTGCTTCAGTTCCCTTGCTCCTCCTGTTTCATGTACTCATGACACCTGGCAAATCTAACAGATCCCTGCTCTGTGCCCCACTCCTAAAGCAGACCTGCAGCCATGCCAGCGGGCCTCACTTTCCCACTCCCAGAGCCCTCCTGTTCCATTAGCCCACTAGACCTCCTGCTGGACTAGGCAGCTGCTTCACAGGTCTCCTTGTATTCTTAAACCTCCAGCAGTGCCTCCTCATCCTTACTCTCAGCTGATTATGGACGTCCTGTTAAGATAATAAAAGCACCTTGAAGGGAACATCCCCCGAATCCCACCTGCTCACACACTGGCCTCTGCGACCCTCCTCTCTCAGGCTTCCCTCCTGTAACTGGATGAGCTCCTGCCTCTGCTTTTCTAGCCCTTTCCCTTCTGCACTAGATCCCACCTCTCTCATATACTCTTGCTTTACAGCCTCTCCTCTCTCATCTCAATTTTTTCCCTTCTAGAAGATCATTCCATCCATATATAAACATGCTCCAGTTCTTTCCAAGATAAAAAGAAGAAAAAAACCCAACAATTCTGTTTCCATCTACTGGCCATTCCCTTTACAGCAAAACTCCTCAAGCGGCTGTCCTTGCTGTCTTCTCTGCATCTGCTCTTATTCTTTATTGTACCAGCTCCCATTACTCCCCAAGGTGGCTCTCATCAAGGTCACTATCCTAATAATATTCTAAGACTCTAATCTATTCTTGGTATTTCCCTTGCTTGACTTAGCATCTGACAACCGATCCCTCATTCCTTCCTGCAGTGCCTTCTTCGCTCCGCCTGCAGGACGCCCACTCCTCTGGTTGTTCTGTCTCTCCCATTTCCTCTCCTAGTTCTTCATCGTCCCCATTCTTAAATCAGGTCGCTCCTATTCTCTAAGCACACTCATTGTCTCATCCAGTCCCATGGCTTTAAATAACACAAATGTGCTGAGGGCTCCCAAATGCACATTTCCAGCCTGGACCCCTCCCTTCAACACTAGTCTCACATAAGTAACTCTGTGCTGGACAGCTCCACCTGCAGACCTAATGGGCATTTCAAATTCAATACGTCAAGCCAACTGACAGGGTGACCAAAATTATCATCACTGAGCGGGGTGGACAATGGACATTGCGTGTGCTGCTGGATGTGACAACTTGAGAAGGACACACCAATTACGTGGTATTTCTGACCGGGGATCTATAACCTAAATATAATCATTAAAAAAAAACAGACAAACCTAAAATGAGGAACACAAATAAAGATATACAGACACACATATACATACATATGTATGATCTGCTTTTTATGAAAAAATGTCAATTTTCATAAAAGACCAGGAAAGTATGAGAAACTGCTCAAGATTAAAGAGATATAGCAACTAAAATCAATAGGTGATCCTGAACTGCATCTTATCATACTGGACATAATTGGGATAATTGCTAAAGGGGAATTGAACTGAGGGTTCATGTGCTGTATTAGTGTTCAAATTCCTAAATTTGGTAGTTGTACTATGGTTATGTAAGAAAATAATTTTAGTCTTAGAAAAGATGCACTAAAATATTCCAGGGCAAAGTCACCTCATATAAACAACATACTCTCACATGTTTCAGAAAAGATAAATTATATGATAACTATAGCATAATATTTTTAAATGATGAATCAGGCAAAGGTGTATTACCAGAGTTGTCTTTATTATTCTTATAATTTTTATGTAAAATTATTTCTAAATATGAAGTCTAAAGAAAAATCCAGCATGTCCAAACCAAACTCTTGATCTTACTCCACAGTTCTCCTCCCTAAACCTGCCTTCACGTTAGTTCCGCCTTTCAGTAAATGTCAATTCTACTATTTCAAGGGCTAAGACCCTAAATTCATAATTATTCTATGACTCCCTTATTATCACCATCTGTCATAAGCATTGAAAAAATGTTGTTAATTATACTCTCAAAACATATCCTGATCCTGACCACTTCAGATTCTGGCCATCATTTCTCTCTTGGCTTCTGTCCTTGCCTATCTATAGGCTATTCTCAACTCAAGCAAGAGGGATCTTTCTGAAACCTAAATCTCCACTACTCCTAATTCCCCAAGGGCTTCTCATTACATCCAGAGTAAAAGCCGAAGTCCTAACAACTGCCCACAGGCTCTATGCAACCTGGCCATCCTCTACCACCTGTCATTCACCCCTATATTACTCTCATTCAATCCACTTGAGCTACAGAACCCTTGTTCCTGCAACATGCCAGGCATGCTCCACACTCAGGGCCTTCACACTTGCTGCCCGTTCCGCCCCCAAACATCAACAGGGCTTGCTCCCTCCCATCTCCTTCCAACTTCACCTTCTCAGTGAGGCCTCCCTGACCACCTATAGAAAGTTGAATTCCCTACCTTATCATGCCCTAAGTCCTCGTTTCCTGCTTGGTTTTTCTCAACATTACTTATCACTGTCTGACCTGCTAAATGTTTTAATTACCCATTTGTTTATTGTCTGTCTTACCACATTAGAACATAAGACCCATGAAGTCAGAGATCTGTTTCAGTTTAGTTTACTGCTACATCCTCAGTGTCTAGAACTCATTTAAGACACAGTTAAGTACTCAACAAATGTCTACTGATGAATGATGCATTTGACAACAGTCAAACTCTCAGAAAGTCAAAAAGACAAAGATATGAAAAATATAAGAGAAATAGAAGAGATACAGAAATCAGTCCACCATGAATTCTAATATCTGACCAAACATATTTCTAGAACAAAAATCTAGTTTAAAACAAAGAGAAACCAAGGCATAATGGTCTGTAGTCCCAGCTACTTGGGAGGCTGAGGCAGGAGGATCACCTGAGCCCAGGAGCTCAAGTTCAGCCTGGGCAACATAGAGAGACCCTGTCACAAAAAATAAACAAATAATAATAAAGTAAATAAAAGATGGAGGAGGAAACTATTAAAATAATGTAATACAAGAGAATTCAGGTTAAAATGGCTTTCTTATTATAACAGAATGAATTAAAAGACCAACATCTAAAAACACTGTTATGAAATTTCAACACATCAAGAATAAAGAGTAACACTTTTACAGCTTTTTCAAAAAAGGAAAAAAAAAAAAAAAACCAACCCATAAAGGGCTGAGAACCAGAAGCACCAGACCTTCCATCAGCAACAAAAAGCCCAAAATACTATGATTTTGTAGTTCTATGTGAAAACCAATAACCCTCATGGAATCCTAAACCCAGCCAAAACTGTCAATTAAGTGTAAGGACAGGAGAAAAAACACAAAAGGAGATAAAGTTTACTTTCTATGTCTGCTTTTTGAGAAAGTTACTGGAGGATATTTTCCAGCAAAATGATTAAATAAATCAAGAAAGAGGCAATCCTGGCAGTTCTGGGTCTAACCCAGTAAAGCAATGAAGAAAATGCCTGTGTGGAGAGCTGGGGCACAGCTGCAGGCTGACACAGAGGGGTGGGAGGCTAAAAAAGGCCTGGAACAGGGAACTCTAGGGATACTATACTACCCTTCAGGAGGGAAAGGAACGGAAGGATGCAGAACAGACAGACAATGCAAGAAAACAAGCAAGCCAAATAGTCTAGGAAAAACAAAACAAACAGAATAATTTCTAAAAATTGACAAAAGAAATGTGGCATAGTCATACAATTTAGAAATATGGAGGTAACCCATAGAAGAACTAAAAATTGAAGTAAAGAGTTAAAATGATTCCCTCTGGAGAGAAGACCTAGGGTGAGGATGATTAGGACAGGAAAATACAGCTTTACTTTATAAACTCTCTGTGCTATTGGCTTGTCAGAATCATATAAAGGCATAATTGGGATAAAAATTTAAAAACTGATTTAAGAGAATCGTAATAGTTTTTACTAGGTTCTTATTTAGGTCAAAAGTGTCATATTCTTAGGTCAATGATTCCAAGTACTCCCAATACTTACTGAAGAAGTTCATTTGCCTTGAGTATAAAAGAACCCACAGCAGTTATGGCATCTGAAGGAAAAAAAATAAATAAACGTCATTTGTCAAATAAGCAAAATGTGTTTAATGTATTCCACTGAGAAATTAAATCACTACCTTCGATTCCTGCAGCATCTAGTCCAAGAGGTTCATACTTTTGCTTCCACGAAGCCATTCCTTTCAATTCACTCAAATGGTATAATAAAGACTCTGAGCCACTATCCAAACAGAGCAGAAATAAATTAGTATCAAGATGATCATCAAGCAACTACCTTGCCTGAATATTTCTAAATTTTCAGAAATAAAAACTGAAAGTAATTTTCATTTTCCTTCCAGGAGAAATGATTATTTCTCAAAACTATTCCTAAAAACTGCAGCAGAACCATTTGGTCAAGATGACTCCAGAGAGAAACAAATCTGAAAAGAACAAATTTTATAAGATGATGAAATTGTGTTCCACAGTTAGTCCTGACCCTTTTAAGACAGTCGTATGGCCATCTTGTTCACCCAACTACTACAGAGTCAACATTCAATAAATATTTCTTAAGTTCCCACTTTAGGTCAGGTACTGTGCTAGATACTGGGGACATAACGGTGAACATAATCAAAGGGTCTCATGGCATTGACAGTGCCACAGGGAAGACAGTCATGACCAGTCATACAGTGTACCATTTCAACTACCATAAATGCCTTGAAGGAAATACACAGGGTACAAGTATAACAGAAGAACCTGAGCTAATCTGGGATTCAGAAAGGCTTCTCTGAAGGAGTGAATGTGAGCTGAGAGCTGAAGTATGCATGTGAAGAACAGGGTGGGAGCCTTCTAGATAACAAGAGGAATATACAAAAGCCCTAGGTGGGAGACAAAATGTCAAGCTGGAAAAACTAAAAGACCACTGGTGAGGGCAAGGCAGAGAAGCAGGTATGCTAAAGGCCACACAAAGGTCTCCATTCTAAGGGAAGGCATTCGACGTTTTTAAGTTAAGACAGTAATATGTTTAGCTCCACTGGGGAAAATACATTCAAGGGACAGTGTGTACTGAAAGGGCCCAGTTAGTCCAGAGGGTGCTCCAGTGGTCCAAGGGAGGGTGATGTAGTTAGGGTCAGGGATTCTGCAGAAAGGAATTTATCAAAATTTAAACTAAACACCACCAGGCACGGTGGCTCATGCCTGTAATCCCAGCCAGCACTTGGGGAGGCCGAGGCAGGGGATCACTTGAGGTCAAGAGCTTGAGACTAGTCTGGACAACATGATGAAACTCCGTCTCTACTAAAAATACAAAAATTAGCTGTAATCCCGGCTACTTGAGAGGCTGAGGCAGGAGAATCGCTTGATCCTGCAAGGGGGAGGTTGCAATGAGCTGAGATAACACCACTGCACTCCAGCCTGGGCAAGACTCCATCTCAAAAAAATAAAAATAAAAAATAAAAAATAAAAATAAACCAAACGCTCAGCATCCACTTTTAAATTGCTTCAATGGACTAGCTATGGATAGAAAAAGCATGAGACTTGAAAATCTAGGGTAAAGTTTTGGCTCCAACACTTAGTAACTTTGGGCCAGCCATATAACAGATTCTGAACTTTTGTTTCCTCTTGTATCACTGTAAAGCTACCCAGCATTAACCTTTTAAGTTAAAGATTGAAATGACCAACACCTTGCTAAGATACTAAATAAATATACAATATTCTTGGTAAACTGTAAAATGTTAATCTCACTGCTCAAAAAAGGGATACATGCCTTATTTCAAAATATACTTCATGCTTAGGTGATTAAGAAAAAACCCCAGATAGAGTCTAGCCTGGTGAAAAGATGTTGGAGAATTACTTCATAAAGCAGAATTATTATTGACTCTTTCAGTCTTGAGTACACGAAGATTCTTCTCAAATGCCATGCAACAATTTTAGCTAGAAAAGGTTTAAAAAGAGAATGCCAGATGAAGAGAAGGCGGCAGAAAGAAGGCTGATGCCAGGTACGTGTGGATACAATACCAAAAGATTCTACGTCATCTTCATACCTCTGTAAGTGACTTATGACCAATTTTTGTATACTGGAATATGACGACTCTATAGACTGGCCAAGCTTTTTTAAGCCCTAATTGAAAGAAGAAAATATAGTTAGCACACAATTAGGATATTAAAATTAAGAATGTATTCATAGCCATTTTAACACATAGATACATTAACTGCACCTTTACTGTTAACTGATTCATCAGGAGAGTCTGAAGTTCAGCACTACAATGAAAAACAAAGTATTTTTAGTCACCTCTCTATTGGAAATCTGAATGTATCATTTACAACTTTTAAATTTCAAAGCACAAACAAGACTTTGAAACAAAATAAAGAAACAGCTCAACAAAAATTAAATTCTATGCATGTAACATCACATATACCCCATAAATATGTAAAACGTACCAATTAAAAATACTATGTACTATATATCAATAAAAAATTCATATGACTATAAACTCCTTTTCAAATAAATAATTACTGTTAAAAAAGAAGCAAAAGTAGGAGCACCTAATCTGAGTTTATTACCTTGCTTTCCCCCATAATAGCAAGTGCATGAACTCATCTTGCACTGATGTGGTTGTGTTCTTTTCCTAAAGAAGAAAAAATTGTGATATATATATATTTACTAAATTATAGGCATATTTATTCAAAATTACAGGAACATGACTCTCTTTCCTTGCCTTAAACTTCCATCAGATCCACAAAGTGATCATCTGAACATCAGCGACTAGAAGACAGCCAGTCAGCTGTTCTACACCTGCCCTTATTGCCCAAGCCTCACCAGCTCCACTTCACAATCCTGTCTCTACCTAAGCTTTACCAATGGGAAAAGAGCCCTTTTTGGAAATCTGAGAAAACAGTTTGAAGTCAGACTAAGCCACTTGAAAGAAATCTCAATCTTAGCCTTGTATGAATCCAACTGATTTTTCTCATGTACCTCACAGTAAATACAGACATCACGCATTCCTTAACCCTCTCCATGAGTAACTTCAGCTGCTTTACCTGCACAAACTTGGTGAGACGAGAATCCATCTGCATTAGTATTTCTTCCCATGCTTCACACATACATGTTAGTGACAAATTTATATACTATTAGCAAAAAAGAAAAAAAATTGAAATGGCAAAAAATATTTAAACCAACTTGCTATCTAAATATGTACTTATGATCAAGTATCTCAATGAATTTACTTTCAATCACTTTTTTACCTGTATTTATTTATTTATTGAGACACAGTCTTGCTCTATCGTCTTGGCTGGAGTACAGTGGCACCATCTCAGCTCACTGCAACCTCTACATGCCGGGTTCAAGCTGCCTCAGCCTCCCGAGTAGCTGGCCTTACAAGCATGCATCACCACGCCGAGCTAATTTTTGTATTTTTAGTAGAGACGGGGCTTCACCATGTTGGCCAGGCTGGTCTCGAACTCCTGGCCTCAAGTGTTCTGCCCACCTCAGCCTCCCAAAGTGCTGAGATTACAGGTGTGTGCCACCATGCCCAGCCTCAATCACTCTTTTAACTCAGTTAAGATGGAAAAAATGACTCTAGCTTGCTCATCACTTAACAATGAAACATTCCACTGATTCTTAGAATTTCATAATAAAACATTCTTAAATTAAGTTTTTATCTGGTTAAACAAATATCCCCAAGCTATTTATATAAGACATGTCTTATGTACACTAACTGTCAAAATGCTGGTTTGGTCAAGTATTCGATTTTCAAATAGGATCCTTAAAAAGATACTGATCTCTAGAAACCTTTATTATCAAATAAATTAATGACTGTGATTGAATGAAAAAATATGGTCACAATTTTTTGTAGCTCCTCCAGTCAGATGTAGAGTTAATTTCTTCAGCCTTGAGTCTCACTTTGACAAATAGAATGCAGAATGCAGCAGAAATAACGCTGTCGACTCCAGGGCCTCAACAGTCTTTGTATGCTTCCACTTGCACCCTCAATGCCCCGTTACCACCACCATGTGGACAAGCCTGTGCTGGCCTGCTAAAGTACGAAGGATGTGGAGTAGAGACAAGGCCATCACAGCCAAGGGACACATATCAGCTGGTATGACCAAGTCTAGTCACCCAAACTTCTTGGCTAAGCCTCGCCTAAATCACCAACCTAGAGAATTGGGAGCTAATTTGGGGTGGGTTTATTATGAACAAATGTAAACTCATGTGAAGGCGGTTTTTCCTACAATACTTCGTATTACCAATGGCATTTTATTTATGAGAGTATTTTAATGATTTAAACTATTTTTTCCTTTTTTTTGGAGGTGGAAAATAGGGTGTGGTGGAAGTAGATTCTCAATTAAATGTTCTTTTCCTACTTTAATGGATCTTATAAGATTATCTAACAGACTAGATGCCCCTGCTTCATACAGCTTTACAAAACAACATTTTGAAGTTTTTACTCACAGAACTTTAGAAGCCAATAAATATTCACATAAAACAAGCTCTAAATAAATACCTGTAAAAGAGCTGAAATGTGAGTAAACTTTCGGGCCATCCGAGTTACTTCAGGTAAGAAAGAGTACAAGAGATTGGTTTCAAGCTGTAAAATCAAAAGAGTAAACTAAGTCACCATCAGATGCACTTGCTGCAAAGCCAGACTGTAGGTTAAACTAGGTATCACAAAGACTACGTCAGAATTCTGCCCTTTTTGAGCAGTAATGGTTTGGAAATAACAGCACACAGCCTTAGGATTTCCTAACCTATGCATAAACATACACAAATCACTCTCTCTGGGTCATCAACCCCTTCTGTGTAGACAGAATAAATGTAATATAATCTATCTTGCAACAGTGTTACAAAGAAATTTTTAAATCACAAATATATGTAAAAACTTAAGGGAAATAGAAGGAATTAAAGGCTACTGATAAATATTGGGAAAATATCTATCAATGATATATGAATTGTAATAAATTTGTCATTGAAAATTATCTGTTATAAACTTCGCAGTAGTAGAGAATCATCTTATTAGAACCCCAATGCAATCCTGGTGATCACAGTGTCACATAACCTTAAGATGATGAGCAAATATGAACAGTCATTACTATAGTGAACAGTAAGTCAAGAGTTCTCTGATGGTTTGAATACAAAGAGAATGTTAGACGGCATCACACACATTGCATCTGCATCTTTTTTGTTCTACTCTTGTTTGAGAGTCACAAATACTAAGTGGCTGGGACATTTAAGATGAAAATTTTGAGATTTCTTGGCAAGGCTATGATCTAAATACTCTATGAGAGCCCTGTTAGTTTCCTCGAGCTACAATGCAAACAGCACACAATGAAGTACTTTCCCAATATTAAGTGATTGTTTTATACAAGATGCAATGTGCTAGTTAAGAGCACAGACTGTGGGGCCAGACTGCCTAGCATCACCTTCCAATCCTGTGACATCAAGCAAGTTTCGAAGTATTTGTGTGACCATGTACTTACCTAAAAAATGGGGATAATAACAGTATCTGCCTATTAGGATGCTGTGAAGATTCAAATGAATTGTTCTGAATCACTCAGTAGTTGGCACGCATGAAACAATCAGTAAATATTAGCCTTTATTATCAGGGTCAGAGTCCTAAGCAAACATTTGGTACAAAGCCGAACTGGAATAGCAACCAATTAATATGGTCATTAACAGACCATCAAAACACTTTCTATTAAAACTGTATTGGAGTATGGGGAGAATAATATGGCATTCACTATAATAACAATATATATAGGATTTAGAAATTCCAAGTAGATTATTTTGTATTATTATAATGATCATTACAATACAGTGAGATGTGGATAAAAACCTATAAAACCTATTAAATACATATTTACCTTTATCAAGTTCCAATACCCACCTGAAAGTATGAAACTTCTGAAGCACCACTGGTAGAGACTTCTGTGACCACGGATAATGATTTCAAATCACTTGATAAACATAATGCAAGACAAGTACCAGCAATCTGTAAAAGGGTCAAACTCCTTAGTGTAGTTAATATCATTGCTAGGTTGAATCTGATTATAATGCAGAAAGCAAAAATTCAAAGCTTCAGAAAGCAGAAACATATATTCCAGGCTCCTGGCACACACACGCAGCAGATGAAGGTAGGTGTCTGTCTGCATGGACTCTTCTAGTTAGGAGGCCACAAAAACAAGGTGGTTTCCTGATCCCTACCCATCAAGAGTCTCAAATCAAGTGCTGGAGAACCAACGTATTCCACAGGGCCTACAATATTTTCTACCCCTTTTGGGAGTGTAAGAGTCAGACGAAAAAGCTATGGAGAAGACTGAGCGTAGCAACTCAAGTGGATTCAGTACTAGACTTAAGAATGCTTCTGAAGACTTACATTCCAATCACATTTGAAGCTCTTTTATATCTCAGGCTAGAAAAACATTAAACCATAACCAAGTGCATCACTAATTTTTCTGTTAAAGAAAGAAAAAAAATTTGACTAATTCCACGAATAGCTCCCAATCTTTATAGACATATCACAATTATTTTATCTTAGTCAGAAAATTATTCTCTGAGCATTTAAGAACAAATAATTCCAATAATCTAAACTGAAAAAAAAAAAACCTAGTGCTTTATGCTTTTTCCATAAGTGAATTATCTAGTATATTCTAAGAGAAGCAATTTAGAAATAGAAAATTTTAAAGAAAAACTTACCCCTGTGACTCGAGCAATTTTAAACATTCCATAAGCATAAAGCTCAATAAACCCAGAGCTTCCTCCAAGGACAAGAATATTAAGCCTAATTAAAAATAATGCAACAAGCTGAGAACCAATCAACAACACAGATGACTGCATTCTTAAACCAAGATATAAATTATTACTGCTTTCATGTAATCTACATGCCGAAGCTCCCATGCAGGGGGAAGTGAAACATCAAATTCACTAACACTCAATATTCAATCAGATCAGGCTTACTTCTTTTTTTCAAAGAACATAAATTTCCTCTAGCCTAAAAAAATCCACTTACAATAAAATAAGATTATTTTAATAACAACTACATTTATGCACTCTCAATAACAAAACAATCCTTTTACCAACTAATACAAAGTGCCATCAGTTTTATCATGGCTATGATGCTGTATATTAAATGGGCTTAAAGAACATGAATACTTACATTTTAGAAACTGTAGTTTATGTCTTATTAAAATAAACATATGTACATCATATAATTATCAAAGCTTGATAAAATGAAAGGCCATACAATAAAAACAATAATAGATATTAAGGTCTATATATTGTTTGAAGGTATTATCGTCAACAGTGAGGCTGGGTGCGGCAGCTCACGCCTGTAATCCCAGACTTTGGGAGGCGGAGGCAGGTGGATCACCTGAAGTCAGAAGTTTGAGACCAGCCTAGCCAACATGGTGAAATCCTTTCTCTACTAAAAACAAAAAAATTAGCTGGGCATGCTGGCATGCACCTGTAATCCAAGCTACTCAGGAGGCTGAGGCAGGAGAATCGCTTAAGCCTGGGAAGTGGAGGTTGTAGTGAGCCGGGATCACGCCACTGCACTCTAGCCTGAGTGACAAGAGTGAAACTCCGTCTCAAAAACAAAAAATGAAATAAAATGGCAAATAAAGAATTTGCTCCTGAAGCTACTGAAAACTGCCTCAATTATGAAATAACTTTAAGAAGTTAGACTTCTTTAAGATATCTGTAAGACTTACCTGACATCTCCCAAAAGCTTAATAATTTCATCAGAATTTTCTTCACTAAAATATAAAAAGAGTCATCTTTTAATTCTGTCTTTCAAGTGATAACAGATTATCTAATTTGAAAACAAAACAAAAAAAGCATATCTTACCTAAATATTTTTGAGGTGTTGCTATAGCTAGAAGGAAACAGAGATTAGGATAAAAAATATATGTAGCAAAAATACATTTTTTAAAATGTATCTGAAAATTGTTCCAGTGCTAAAAGCAGAAGAAAGAGAAATGTGCAAGATTAATTTCAAAGAAACCAGTGATACTTACTTTTTTGGCAGTGTAGGTAGTTTAGGTAAGAGAAGATTTGATTCATCCTCAGCATTATAAAATGACGTGAGAACACTAAAAAGGAAAGAATAAAAGCATTATAAAAACACCAAAGATTTTACTTCTCTTACCATTAAAAATGCTAATTTTTAAAAAAGATACCTAGAGTTTTACAACATTATCAAGTAAGTAGATGCCACAAATACTATACAGCTGTAATCAGTATAACAGTCCCAAATGAGAAATTGAAAAGTAGGAATTTCTTTGTTATTTTAGGGGAAAAAAAAAATCCCGCACACACTTAGAGAAATGAATATTAATAAACACTTTTCTTAGCATATGAAGTGCATTCATACGTACTCAGACATTGAGAATTTATGATTTCTTAACTCTCATTTAAGAACTCACACTAAACATATGACTACTAGAGTAATTTTAAAGAACAATGCAATTACCCTATCTTTTCGTTTTTTGAGACAGGGTCTCACTCTGTCACCCAGACCAGAGTGCAGTGGTGTTATCATGGTTCACTGCAGCCTCCACTTCCTGGGCTAAGGCCAACCTACTGCCTCTACCTCCTAAGGAGCTGGGACTATAGGTGCAACCCACCACACCCAGCTAATATTTTTCATTTTCTTTTTTTGTAAAGATGGGGATCTTACTATGTTGCCCAGGTTGGTCTGAAACTCCTGGTCTCAGGCAATCCTCCTGCCTCAGCCTCCCAAAGTGCAGAATTGTAGGCATGAACCGCTGTGCACAGCCTACTGTATGATTTAATTATTGGTTCTATGACTTATATACACTTGAGGATTTGACAATCCAAAGGTATATGAGACTACACCATGCATTTTGAAATAGTTTTATTTACTCCCTTTTCCTTCTCAATTCTAACTCCAAATAAGGTTGGAAATAAATGAGTGAGCAAGTAAAACATGGTGATTTAACAAGTATTTTTTCCTACCTTAACAAAAAGTAGCTGTCTTGAGAGACCCTGGAATCTCCAGATAACATTTCTAAACTGTTAGTAGAAAGCATATTGGAAATACGCATGGCAGATAGCTGGGCTGGAATAGGAATTACACGGTACGCTCTGATCCTTCTACAAATTCACATAACCATTTGTAATCCTTCATTATCTAATGATGGATTTGTCACTCTGGTTTATCTACAGTGAATTTCAAACCCCAGGCCAAGCCCCTGTCATCTAATTATTTCAGGCCTCCCTTAGGAAAACTGTCAACTAATATTCAGAATTTACAAATCCATTAGATATTAATTTAGTGTAACTTAATTAGAAAGGAAAAGCTAATAGAAAAAAGTATATTGCCCCAAAAAAGAAAAACAATTTTTGTTTTCAGTACTAGCCAAACCCACTGCTTCCTCCAGCCTTCTTCACTGCAACCCTGGTGTATTACTTGACTATTCAGACTAAGGCAGAATTGTTTTTATGAAACAAGGAAAGTATCAGGACCATGGACAAAGAAAAAAACCTGTCCAGCATCAGAACAGAATGTCCAACTCAGCACTTTTCGTACACTAAGAATATTTACTGAGGCACAAAACAAAGTTCCAGGTGATATAAATGGTGAAATGGAAATTAATATATTAATTAATATAATTTTAAAATTACTGATTGGCAAATGGAGATTGTTTTCCATTTCACCATTTATCTCATCTGGAGCTTTGTTTTTTCCGTCTCAGTAACTATTTTAGGAATATGAAATGACCAGAAAGAAGAGAAAATTCTTAGTTGTTCGGTATTACCACTCCAGTAAGAAAATACAGGCATATCTCCTTCAACTGTGCTTCCCTCTATCCTGCTTCCCAGATACTGCATTTTTCACAAAAGTTTGTGGCAACCCTGTGTCAAGCAAGTCCATCAGCCAAGCCAGTCTACTGGAGTCCTTTTCCCAGAAACCGTGTGCTCACATCGTGCCTCTGTGTCACATTTTGAAATATTTGCAATATTTCAAACTTTTTCATTGTTACAGTATCTGTTACAGTGATTTGAGATCAGTTATCTTTGATGTTACCATTGTAAATGTTTTGAGGGTGCCACAAACCATGGCCATATAAAATGGTGAGCTATGGCTAGTGTGGTGGCTCACGCCTGTAATCCCGGCGTTGGGAAGCTGAGGTGGGTGAATCACTTGAGGAGAGGAATTCGAGACCAGCCTGGCCAACATGGTGAATCCCTGTCTCTACTAAAAATATAAAAATTAGCCAGGCGTGGTGATGCACACCTATAATTCCAGCTACTTGGGAGGCTGAGGAAGGAGAATCACTTGAACCCTGTAGGCAGAAGCTGCAGTGAGCCGAGACTGCACCACTGCACTGAACTCTGACCTGGGTGACAGAATGAAACTGTGTCTCAAAAAACAAATAAAGCCAGGTGCAGTGGCTCATGCCTCTAATCCCAGCACTTTGGGAGGCCAAGTTGGGCAGATCACCTGAGGTCGGGAGTTCCCGAGACCAGCCTGACCAACATGGAGAAACCCCATCTCTACTAAAAATACAAAATTAGCTGGGTGTGGTGGCACACGTCTGTAATCCCAGCTACTTGGGAGGCTGAAGCAGGAGAATCTCTTGAATCCAGGGAGGGGAGGTTGCGGTGGGCTAAGATCCCGCTGTTGCGCTCCAGCCTGGACAAGAGCAAAACTCCATCTCAAAATAAATTAATTAAATTAAAATAAATAAAATTATTTTTAAATGGTGAGCTTCATGGATAAATGTGTATGTTCTGAGCGCTCTACTGACTGGTCATTCCCTTTCCCACTTCCTTGGCTCAGGCCTCCCTACTCCTTGAAACACAGCAATATTGAAACCAGGCCAGTTAGTATCCCTACAATGACCTCCAAGTGTTCAACTGTCTCACTTTAAATCAGCAGCTAGAAATGATTAGGCTTAGTGAGGAAGGCATGTCAAAAGCCAAGATTAGGCCAAAAGCTAGGCCTCTTTTGCCAGTCTGCAAGTTGTGAATGCAATGGAAAAGTTCTTAAAGGAAATTAAAAGTGCTGCTCCAGTGATTACACAAATAATAAGAACGTGAAACAGCCTTATTGCTGATATGGAGAAAGTTTTAGTGACCTGGACAGACGATCAAACCAGCCACAACATTCTGTTAAGCCAAAAACTAAGCCAGAGTAAGGCCCCAGCTCTCTTCAATTCTGTGAAAGTGCTGAGAGGAAGCTGCAACAAGATCCCGCTAAATCACTGATGAAGGTGGTTACACTAAACAACAGATTTTCAATGGAGAAGAAATGGCCTTTTATTGGAAGAAGATGCCACGGAGGATTATGTATACATATAAGCCAGTCAATATAGCACCATCTAGGACTTTCATAGCTAGAGAGGAGTCAATGCCTGGCTTCAAAGCTTCAAAAAATAAGCGGATTCTCTTATTCGGGGGTTAACATAGCTGGTAACTTTAAGTTGAATCCAAAACTCATTTACCATTCTGAAATCCTATGGCCCTTGAGAATTATGCTAAATCTATCCCCTCTGTGTTCTATAAATGGAACAAGAAAGGCTAGATGACAGCATATCTGTTTACAGCATAGTTCACTAAATGTTTCAATCCACTGCTGAGGCCTACTTGCTTCGAAAAAAGATTCCTTTGAAAATATTACTGCTCATTCATGACTGGTCACCCAAGAGCTCTGACAGAGATATATAAGATGTTGTTTTCATGCCTGTTAACACAAAAATCCATTCTGCATTACATGGGTCAAGCAGTAATTTCAACTGTCTTTTTTTTTTCTTTTTTTGAGACAGGTCACTCTGTCACCCAGGCTGAAGTGCAGTGGTCCAGTTACAGCTGACTGCAGCCTCAACCTCCTCAGGGTTAGGTGATCCTCCCACCTCAGCCTCCTGAGTAGCTGGGACTACAGCTACCACATCTGGCTAACATTTAAGAAAGGGTTTCACCATGTTGCCCAGGCTAGTACTGAACTCCTGGGCTCAAGTGATCTGCTCACCTTGGGCAGATCCCACTTTGGGATCTCCCTTCCAAAGTGCTGGGATTACAGGTATAAGCCACCATGCCTGGCCACCTTTCAAGTCTTATTATTTCAGAAAAACATTTCATAAAGCTAGAGCTGCCATAGATAGTGATCCCTCTGATGGATCTGGGTAAAGAAAATTGAGAACCTTCTAGAAAGGATTCATCATTCTGGATGCCATTAAGAACATTCATAATTCATGAGAAGAAGTCAAAATATCAACATTAACAGGAGTTTGGAAGAAGTTGATTCCAACTTCCATGGATGACTTTGAGGGATTCAAGAATTCACTGGAGGAAATGACTGCAGATGTGGTAGAAACAGCAAGAGAACTACAATTAGACATTGAGTCTGAAGGTGGGCCTGAATTGCTGCAATCTCATGACAAAACCTGAATGGATAAGGAGTGGCTTCTTAGGGATGAGCAAAGTGGTTGTTTAAGATGGAATTTAGTCCTGGTAAACATGCTATGAGTAATGTTGAAATGACAAAGGATTTAGAATATGCCATAAACTTGGTTGATAAAGCAGCAACAGGGTTGGAGACAGCTGACTCCAATTTTGAAACAAGTTCTACCTTGGGTAAAATGCTATCAAACAGCATCTCATGCCACAGAGAAATCTTTCATAAAAGAAAGAGTCAATTGATGCGACAAATTCCACTGCCGTTGATGTTAAGAAATTGCCACAGCCACCCTAACCTTCAGCTGCCACCACCCTGATCAGACAGCAGCCATCAACACCAAGGCAAGACCCTCCACTTTCAGTGAAATGACAGCTTACTAAAAGTTCAGATGAGCATTTGCACTTTTTAGTAATAGTAATAAAGTACATTTTAATTAAGGTACATACTTTTTTTTAGACACGTTACTGCACACTTAATGTACTATAGCATAGTATAAACATAACATTTATATGCACTGAGAAACCAAGAAATTCAAATGACTTGCTTTTATCGCAATGTTCACTTTATTGCAGTGGTCTGGAACAAAGCCCACAATATCTGAAGTATGCCTATAGATGTTTATCAGAAGGAAAAAAAATCTAGGAAACCATTAAAAAATTTCATCTTGCTAAAGTTAAACCAAAATTTAAATGCAATGCACATACACTCAATACTCAGATACTCCTAAGTTTCCATTTTAAACAATAAAAATCTCATGAATATCCTATGACTACATAAGTTTTTCGAATTACCTGCTTTCTACAGTCACTTCCATCCAATGCATACAGGAAACTGGAGCCTCCACGGAAAAAGAATGTAAGCTCTCAGGTTTTTCTACATCACACAGAACAATTTTCTTGGTATCAGCAAGAGCAAAGGCCAAAACTAAAACAAGAAAAAGCAATCAAAATAAATTAGTGTAGTATTTCAGAAAAATAAATGGGTATTTCACCTATTGCCCAGTTTTACTTTTAAGTGCATCTTAATCATGGCAATTTTTGACCTAAACATCCTTCAATATTTTAAAAACTGAAAAAAGATATATCTGCATATATTGTAGTTACGTTATCTTAGCTTATTTTCAAGTGCTTAAACTTTATAGGCGAGCTACTACTTTTTCATGTATCACACTTAAGATCTTACACATCAAAGATTCCAGACTAAAACCCTGTCGTCAAGCAGAAAATACAGAAGAGGCTTCAACAAATAAACAATTAAGCAGAAAATACAGAAGAGGCTTCGACAAATAAACAATTACATCCTAACACATGTCTAAAAGGTAAACAATAATTCCATCTGCTTTGTTCTTGGAAGGCTTTGTATTCCTCTTTTATGTTTCTAAACCATGGTGGTAAATGAGGCCATTGAACACAGATAAATCTTCCTTTGAGTGTGGTTAAATTTTCTAGTATGTTTTCTCTACACAAGTCAATATTTCTTCCTAACATGTATAATTTTAAGAATTTAAGAATTTCCAAAAAAAGGGCAGTGAGTTTCACTGCATATCACCATCACATACAACTTTGCCAGATGTGAACCAATCCCAGCCTTCCTTCTTAAAAACAATTTAAAACAAACTTGAAATGATCATTATGTAACAAAAAACATATTTTACTATCCAAAAACATGAGATTTTTAAAAATGAATACAACTACTTAAATATATTTTAATGCACACTGACTTAAATGATTTATCTTTGAGATTCCATGTTTTTGAATTATTTAGTGCAAGATCTCAAAACTTTACCTACAAAAGTCCTCTGAACTTACACATATTCTACATATGCTCCAAGCAAAATGACTACAGAACGAACATGGAATTTTTAAAACATTTCCAAAAATTCCATTTTGGGAGTTAATCTAAGGGAGCTACTGGCAAAGTTCTTCTCGGTGTTTAGAATGTTTACACAGCATTGCTTATAAAAGCCAAAAACTGAAAACCATCTAAATATCCACCAAGGGTAAATAGGTTTGGTAAATTACAATATATAAATATAATGGGTTAGTTTGCAGTCATTTAACATTAATGTGATAAATCTATCCACACTGACATGGGAAAGAGTGAGTGGGGGAAAAAAAAAAAGAAAAAGCTAAGCAACAAAATGGCATGTACCAAATGACCTTTTTTTTGATAAAACTACATATAGGTCTCTATAAGTATATACTTTATCAGGAAGTGTTGGAAAAGATGTTCACCAAAACAGAAACAATTGTCATCTCTAAGTGATTTGCTTTCAGGGAATTTTTAAGTACATATTTATATTTATCTATAGACAAAAATAAAGCAGTGAGGGCGAGGTGCAGAGGTTCACACTTCTAATCTCCATACTATAGTAGGTAGGTGAATCATTGAGGCCAGGAGTTCGAGACTAAGCTGGCCAAAACAGTGAAACCCTATCTCTACCAAAAAATACAAAAATTAACTGGGTATGATGGTGCACACCTGTAATCGCAGTTACTGCTTGAACCCGGGACGCAGAGGTTGCAGTGAACTGAGTTCACATCACTGCACTGCAC